AAAAAAACGGGAGGTTGGCAAGTCTGCTTTATCTGAAGAAAAGTTAAACTCCAATAAAATTATGTTTTTAAGGCAAAGTAACGTGTTTTGAAAATACAGTTTTTTTTTTTTTTCAATTTCTCATTTATTCCATATATAACATAAAATACATTACAATATTATTGCCTACGTTTTTCAACATTGTCGGCAATATACAAAACATATAAAAATGGAAACAATGAAAATACAATAGATAAGGTACATAATATTAATGGCAGGGAATGTTAGAGGCTTTCGGGGGGGGGGGGTTAATCTAAAATATCAAGAGCCTGGCAGATGTAATGGCTAACTATATAAATAATTTGTTCATTATCAGTTACTGTGAGATTTCTGTCTCCAAATAATAAAAATTAAATTTTTTCATAAGAGTTTAAATTTTGGAAACGATTGAAAAATCCTAAGGTTTTTAGTCCTGCTAGGAGAGTGCATCTTTCTTGTTGCAGCAGAGGGCAGTTTAATAAAAAGTGATGCGTTGATACAGGGTGTCCGGAAAGTAAAGATACAAACACTCTAATTTTAAGAGATTTAGGTTTCTTGTAATGAAATTGCTACAGATTGTAGAGGAACCATATTACAATACATCTGCCAACTTTTATAGCATATAGTCTAAACGTGTTCAAGTTACGATTGTCATGGTTACGGTGGTCAGGGGTATGCGGAGCAGTTCCATGATACCGCTAAATTGTCATAAATTGCTCGAATTTAACCATTTGAAACAGTGTTTATTATTGTATATCCTATCAATGTTTTGTTTTGTTCAATATTGTATTCTTGCTGCCGTAGTATTCTCTTTAGTATAATGATATCTTTGATGCATATCATAACTATGTAATGTCACTTATCAGTCTAATCAAAGAAACATTATATAAGTGCTTAGAAAAAAGGTCCCTGGATTAATAGGAAAGTCAATAGTGCACCTCCACAATGCACCAATTCACAAAGCAAAGAAAACAAACCTTACAATTGAATGTCTTGACATTAAACCTTTTTGTACAATGGCCCATATTACACTGATAATGTCCCATTGGACTTCTATATTAATGAATATCTTAGAGCAATATTTGTTAGAAGTTCAATATGAAAATGAAACTCTGCTTGAAGCCAATTTTATCAGTAATCTGAGAGATGGACAGCAGCGGCTTTGTCAGGTCTTTGAATCTCTGGTCAAGATGCACCACAAATGTTTAGATAATGTTGGGAAATACATAATACTGGATAAAAGTAGTAATGTCAAATGACCAAATAATGTTATAGTACTACTTCTTTTGCTGTTGTGGTACATAATTTGATGTATAATAGCAACAGATGATGGAGTGTCAAGATGATATGAGCAGGAGAAAAGAATTTTACAGTGTTAAAACATAAATATCACCTGTGATTTTTTTTAAATTTTTTAGTCAACTTTTAGGGGTCCCCCACAGCCTTTGAAGTTTGCCCATAGGCTTAACATTAGTGGGCGTCGCCCAAAATCGTACTTTATAGAAGCTTTTTTTCTAGTGATTTATTTATGTTGTTTGAAGAAAACCAACATTGTATATGATATGATTAGATGTTTAAATCATCAAATTACTCTGTTTCAGAGGCCTGGAACAAATGTAGAAAAGCTGATTTTTTAGTCATTTATTAGTCTCAGAGCAATATAACATGGAAACCTTCAATCGGCGGCACATAGGTATTAAGAAGAATATTGGAGTGAACCCCCGGGTGCCCCGGGTCTTACACCTTCTCTGGTGAACCTATTTTCGATATATGCATGTAGGTCCATTCAAAGTCGACATTTGAACCTTTAAAAAGCCAAATTTAGACTGAGGATTGAAAAGGTTTTAAGATCTTTTATTCTCGGTAGACCGGAAGTAAATTTATGAGTCGAGTAAAAAGTGATAATGTTCTTTTTATGAAGTGGGGAAGTGAAAACAGCACTAATCTGCTAATAGAAGTCAAAGTAAGCATTCGAAGATTATTTAGAACCATTTAAAATCAAATCGACGGCAAAATTGAATTGACTGAAATCTTTATATGTTTTCTTCTTCATCTTCTTCGCGGACCTCAGAGAAGACACTTCCCGTTTAATAATCAGTGATTTTATCGATCAAAAAATATTTCTTTTTGAATTTGTCCGATATCTGCTAATATGCAGGGTCTGACCTTAACTTTTTTCACCAGTAGCAAGGATTTGCTACCTTCTACCAAAACAAGGAGCAAATTCCCATATTCAGGTAGCAACAAAAATGCTCCAAGAAAACATTATCAGGTAGCAAATTGCTCATCAAATTCTATTCATGTCTTATAACGAATCCCCGGTTATTTCTCGCCTTTTTGCACTGAACGAAACTACCATTTTTTACGTTCAAGAGTCGTCTGAGAACAATTTGTGGTTTTTCAGACCAAAATCCGCATGTTTTCATTGAAAATAGGAGAATGAATCATCTAATCCTTATAAAGGTAGTATAATCAATTGGGGGTGAAACAAATTATAGCGTATTCGTCGATGAAACATGTTATCGTGCAGGCAACATGTTTTCGGCAAGAAATTCTGTTTCGCTAAAGCGAGTAAAGTCCAATCAGTCATGTTGTCTTATTTTGTTTCATTTTGGGATCCGTATCAACCAATCAGCGTTGAGGTTATATCGCTATCAGAAACGCGATGAAAAATATCGGGAGTGGTAAGTTCCATTGATTCTGTGTGATAGAAGGGTTGAAATACATGAGATTCATTGCGTAAATTTGAGGTAGCAAGCATTTGCTCCCAGCCACAAAGTTTTTGGAGCAAAATGTGAAATCAGGTAGCAAATTTGCTCCTTGCTACCGCTAAGATCGAACCCTGATATGGTATATTTGTGCTGATTAATAATTACAAAATAGGTTGGGTATAGAATATGTCAAAGTCGTTTGATCTTGTCCCAGAAGCAATATTTCGTCATTTCTGTCGCCTGGAATTCCTTTAAGGCTCTCTTGCAGAATTGGGTATCAAAATGCTAAAGAGCCTTAAAATGTAAGGCTCTTTAGCCGAAATGCTAAAGAACCTTAAAATTTAAGGCTCTTTTTAGCATTTTGGTAACCCATTTGGCTAGAGAGCCTTAAATTTTAAGGCTCTCCAGGCACGGCCTAAAAAAAATAAAAGCGCCCACCTGGGTCACCTGCCCGCCTGTAAAATACAGGTAACCAATCTAAAACATATACATTTATCTAATACTTTTTGAAATATTACGCATAAAAGGGAAGCATGGCACTGCTCAAGACATTTTGAAAGTCTCATGTTATTACACAGTTGCATACCCTTCTAATTGAAAGCCCATGATATTTACTTCCTGCGAAAGCTATTTAGATTTTGATATACTAGCTTTCCCACGGAGCATTTAGACAGCTGAATGATTTTGACCTTTGAAATCGAATTAAGGTGCTATGGAAGTTAACAGGAAATGACAAAACAGGAAGTGACAATTTTTTGCATTTTTAGATATTTTTTGAATAAAGATAACAGAGTTCTGGTTTGACCTCCAGTCAATTTAACTATTTCCACATATCATTTACATGACCAGGATCACAATGTGCATGGTCAGAATGACCCTAAACATGATGAAATAACCTTTTTAGCCCTTTGAAAGTGTGACTGAAAAAAAGCTAAAAGTAGGAGCGTAGGGATAGTCACTGAACAGAATCTTTTGAATTTTTCAGAAAATGTGCCCAATATAACGCTCTAACTAGTACTATCTTTGAAATTTTAGAAAATTGTCTTAAACAAAAATGGCGGTCATAAAAAGGAAAATAGATCGCTTTTCAAATCAGTTTTTTCATTTTTTTTTCTTTTTCTATGAATGATATCAAATTTTCAAAGATTGTATCATTTAGAGCAATATATTGGGCACATTTTGTGAAAAATTCAAAAGATTCTGTTCAGTGACCTTCCCTACGCTCCTACTTTTAGCTTTTTTTCAGTCACACTTTCAAAGGGCTAAAAAGGTTATTTCATCATGTTTAGGGTTACTCACTTCGAGAGCCATGTTAGATTTTGAAACTTATGGCTCAAACGGAGAAGTGAACAGCTGATCAATAGTGACCTTTGAAATTGAATTAAGTCGATCCGCGGCTTACTTTTGGTCTCTAACTGTGTCTTACATCAGTATCATCAATCCGTGTAAGTATTGGAGCGCTGGAGTACTTCTTTTTCGATCAAGACTTGTAAATTGTTCATCGAGTTAAAGTTTTACAGACCTATTTCCAATATGGCGGTTTGCTAGGTGCGAGATACGCAACGAACGAAATGAATTTTGAGAATTAGTTAGGTTCGGACAACCTCCGGAGATTTACGAAAATGTCCGAGCAGAAACCGCCATATTGGAATTTGGCAGTAAAACGATTCCCTTGACTAACAATTACAAGTCTTGATCGAAAAAGAAGTACTCCAGCGCTCCAATACTTACACGGATTGATGATACTGATGTAAGACACAGTTAGAGACCAAAAGTAAGCCGCGGATCGACTTAATTCGATTTCAAAGGTCACGATCATTGAGCTGTCCAAATGCTCCGTGGGAAAGCTATTATATCAAAATCCAAATAGCTTTCGCAGGAAGTAAGTTTAGGGTATTCTGACCATGCACATTGTGATCCTGGTCATGTAAATGATATGTGGAAATAGTTAAATTGACTGGAGGTCAAACCAGAACTCTGTTATCTTTATTCAAAAAATATCTAAAAATGCAAAAAAAATTGTCACTTCCTGTTTTGTCATTTCCTGTTAAGTTCCATAGCACCTTAAGTCGATTCGCGGCTTACTTTTGGTCTCTTACTGTGTCTTACATCAGTATCATCAATCCGTGTAAGTATTAGAGCGCTGAAAGAGCATTTGTAAGAGCTGTTCACTTCCCCGTTTGAGAGCCATAAGTTTCAAAATCTAACATGGCTCTCGAAGTGAGTAACATGATATAGTCTATATCACAAATCAAATCTGCATGTACATACCAGGATCACCCACGTTTGAAGCCATCTCACTAGATGTATGGATTCTACCAAGACAGCACACTTGTGGAGACGACTTTGCTGGTTTATAGTTGATGCTGAAAGGTAAACAATTTCGTTGGGAAAGAAATTGTGCATGATTTGCAATTTTACTGATACAGGAACTTTCTGACGAAAAGCATCGGCGAATTCCCAAAACTGTCCCTCTTTTTATGGCTGCCATTTTAAATCCTTGTATAATCCACGTATTACCAGTCTTCGACTGCAGTCAGGGGGAAATATTAGACGAGGATGTCGGTATTTTATACTTTGCATATCACGTTCTTCATGTTTTGAGGTCAAACATTCAAACGGAAGTGGGGTTGTACTAAATACCACCTGAATCTCCCACAACTCTTTCATGTTCTATCATGGTATGCATACCTGCCAACCTACCGTATTTTTACGGGAATCTACCGTAATTTTTTCGTTTTTTCCGTAAAAAATGACGAACTACCGTAAAAAATACCATTTTTCTCCCGTCTACCGTAATTTTTTTTTTAAGGTGACTGTTAACTTAATCGATTTTCAGAAAAAATTGAAAATTTCACAATCTTGAAATTTTCAAACTCTTCCTGAGAAGTCGTTTTTTAAGAAATATAGACCGAAAAGCAGGGGTTATATTGTCGAATACACCCCGCAGGGCTAGGCACAAACTCTGTACCCCGAACGACCGAAGGGAGTGAGGGGTTCGAAAGCTTTATTACCCCTGCTCTGAGGTCTATATTACGATTCGATTTCGAACATGAAAACTCACCAAATTGTTTCGAGATTTCTAGCTTTAACATTTCGAAAAAGAGCTGGTCATTGATTGAAAGGGCTACTTGCTGATTATCATTCAAAACCGCATTTACATAGTTTCTGATTGCATATTGATCAAATGTTTCTTTAATTTTGGATTTGACAATATCTATATATTGTTGATCTTTAAGAAGTGAAGTATTAAACTTCCAAAAACCTCTACCTCTATCGGGTAGATCTGTCTTCACAGATAATGTAATAATATTATGATCAGATCTATATGCCGGCAAAATATTACATTTTTGTGTCAAATTTATTATATCAGCAGTGCACAAAATAAAGTCTAATCTAGCCATCTGACGTGGATTTCGTCTAAGCCATGTAAATTTTTTCTCTTCCGAGTTAAGTTCTCGCCAAATGTCATTATGACGTGCACGGACCTCATTTATGGCCACCGGGTCCCAACATGCCATGTTCTGCCATGTTGCCAAGTGGTAATATCTACAAGATGCAGTCACTTGGCATATACTTGTTAGTAACATGGCAATATTTTAGCAAGTACCTTTCTGACAACATGCTACTGGTCTAGCATGTGAAAGACAGAGCAACTGGCTCAGCATGGCATGTTGAATGTGCAAGTGATTATTCAAGATTTATTCTAGATTGGACATGGCATCTTGTTTTAGCATGTGTACATGTATCAGAATGCGAGTACTGCCATGTTCGCAAGTTGGATGTGCATGTTGATTTTACATGTTGCATTGGCATACTTGCCATCTTATATTTGCATGTGTGCCATGTACCTTGATTCAAGTGATCCCAAGTTCACATCTTACCAAGTACAGCATGTTGTCATGTGATAAATATGGCTACTGGCCGTAGCATGGCATGTTGGATGTGCATGTTATAATAATGTCCATTAATGCTCTACATGGTTCTACTTGCCATCTTGTATTAGCATCTGTACCATGTACCAGAAATGTTGGTGGTGCCATGTGTGCATGTTACCAAGTTCAACAGACATAATCATTTATTAGTCCTGGCAATGATCTTTATTCATACATTGTATATGTGTTGGATGAACATTGTGTCAATGATACATCACACTGATATTTTACATTTTCTTATGCTGTATTTTAAACTTGACTCTATAACTTATATTTTTGCATTTGTCATGTTGTTTACATTATGTATTTTGTAGTTAGTTTAGTCTAAGTTATTTTTGTATATTGTACATTGTACTGACTAATATGTCATTGTGATGACATCTGAGTCAATAAGAGATGTTCGTGAACGCTGCTCCTGCCAAGTACACACTATATCATAAGGGTCTGGTACATTATCGCCGCTCCTGCCAAGTTGACCCTGTATCATTAGGGTCTGGTACGCGATCGCCGCTCCTGCCAAGTGGACCTTGTATCATTAGGGTCTGGTACGCAAATTCCGCACCTGCCAAGTGGACCCTGTATCATTAGGGTCTGGTACGCGAATTCCGCACTTGCCAAGTGGACCCTGTATCATTAGGGTCTGGTACACGATCGCCGCACCTGCCAAGTGGACCCTGTATCATTAGGGTCTGGTACACGATCGCCGCTCCTGCCAAGTGAACCCTGTATCATTAGGGTCTGGTACGCGAATTCCGCACCTGCCAAGTGGACCCTGTATCATTAGGGTCTGGTACACGATCGCCGCTCCTGCCAAGGTGACCCTGTATCATTAGGGTCTGGTACACGATTGCCGCTCCTGCCAAGGTGACCCTGTATCATTAGGGTCTGGTACGCGAATTCCGCACCTGCCAAATGGACCCTGTATCATTAGGGTCTGGTACACGATCGCCGCCCCTGCCAAGTGGACCCTGTATCATTAGGGTCTGGTACACGATCGCCGCTCCTGCCAAGTGGACCCTGTATCATTAGGGTCTGGTACGCGTCCTGTGTCCTCAGTGGGTTGGTCAGGGTTAGGTAATCATTTAAAACCCCATCTGGTTTAATAGGGATGGGGTTGGTAATTAGGGTTAGGGTTAAGGTTACGGTTAACTCATTTCACTTTGCAGGAGCGGCGTTCATGTGCCAGAAGCTACTGATAGCGATCGCTGCTCCTGCCAAGTAGACCCTGTATCATTAGGGTCTGGTATGCAAATGCCGCTCCTGCCAAGTCGACCCTGTATCATTAGGGTCTGGTACACAATCGCCGCTCCTGCCAAGTGGATCTTGTATCATTAGGGTCTGGTACGCGAACGCTGCTCCTGCCAAGTGGACACTGTATCATTAGGGTCTGGTATACGATCGCCGCTCCTGCCAAGTGGACCCTGTATCATTAGGGTCTGGTACGCGTCCTGTGTCCTCAGTGGGTTGGTCAGGGTTAGGTAATCATTTAAACCCCCATCTGGTTTAATAGGGATGGGGTTGGTAATTAGGGTTAGGGTTAAGGTTACGGTTAACTCATTTCACTTTGCAGGAGCGGCGTTCATGTGCCAGACCCTACTGATAGCAATCGCTGCTCCTGCCAAGTAGAACCTGTATCATTAGGGTCTGGTATGCAAACGTCGCTCCTGCCAAGTGGACCCTGTATCATTAGGGTCTAGTACGCAATTGCCGCTCCTGCCAATTTGACCCTGTATTATTAGGGTCTAGTATGCGTCTTGTGTCCTCAGTGGTTAGGTCAGGGTTAGGTAATCGTTTAAAACCCCATCTGGTTTGATAGGGTTGGGGTTGGTAATTAGGGTTAGGGTTAAGGTTAGAATTAAATTTTTTTATTATCTATTGACACAGAAGTTTATTGTATTTATGTAATTCATTTTTTTTATTTATTTCATATTTTTGACACACAAATCATGGTCTTAGGGTTACGTTACAGTTAAGGTTAGGGTTAAATTCATTATTTGGTGTCAAATTCATTTTTTGGATTTTTTTGACTCCCAATTTTATTGTATTTATGGAATTCATTTCTTTATTTTTTTGACACACATATTCATGGTCTTTTTGGGATGTTTTGACACAGTTTTGTGGTCTTGATGGAATTCATCTTTTTGATTGTTTTGATATTGCACAAGTTCTGGATATACCTCGTTGAGAAAACATGCAGTCTTCACTATTTTCCTTATTTTAAAGTCCCCATGTTAAGTTTGAAAATATCTTTTTATCATTCATTTACTATTTGTCGTGTTATTTTAGAGATTTTTTGAAAAAAGTTGTAAGCTTTTTTTTCTCACTTCAATATTTTAGCATATCAAAAATATTTTGCACCCGAAGTCAGATCTGCCAACCTGAAATTGGTTTTGAACGAGGTCATGGTGATTTATACTTGATTCTGTGATATGAAGAATAGGTTTTAGTTAAATGAAGAGGGAAAACAAAAGAATATGACAAAAATTAATGAGTAATAAGGCTGATTATTTGACAAGTTGGCCCTGAACAAGTATTATGAGGGTTCCTTTGCTCGCTCAGTTTTTACAGAAAAATACCTATATTTCCTTAAAAGAAAGAAGTCCAATAATCATTATAATTCTTTTAAAATGCTGTAGATTTAGCTCAAACACGGTAGATTAAGGGAGATTTCAGTCAAAAATACGGGAGGTTATTACGGCCATTTTCACGGGAAAAAATGGATTCAAAAAAATTAAGGTACATTTTAGTAGAAGTACGGTACGGGAATTAACAGTAGTTTAACGGGTTAAAACGGTATGGGAGTTTTGTTATATTTACGGGAAAACAAAATATTTTTTCTCGCCTATTTTTGAACCAATTTTCTTAATTTTTCCCCAAAATCATGGGAGGATGAATGCTATGCATTGGTGTGAATTATCGCTTATTAGAATGTACATGTATATGTTGCTAACTCACGCGGTAGTATCTCTTCGGGACGTATCGAAACCACTCCGTCCCGAAAAACCGTTAATTTGAATTTAAAACCTACCCCAGTGTTTGAAAATCAAGGATTGTGAGTCTCACACTTCACCGTTTTTCTTCAAACTTGTTCCGTACAAAGCTTCACAGAAATACCTTTCAGTCGATACATTGTTTTCGTGTACAAAGTACCTCGTTTTAGCGGCGTTTTGGTCCCCAGCTGCGAGATAAAGCAAATTTTCATAACTTTCAACTGTAAGTCAAGTTATCTCGCCAGTCTTTTAGCCATTCTCGCTCATAATTTCAGAATGGACTCCCATTACAACCTTCCATCGCTACGTCTTGATTTTTGGGCATCAAACGCAGCAGTTTCTAAATCATCCACACATCTCTTAAAATTTGACTAATACGTCCCGTTAGAATGCAACTCTACGTGTATAGTGATAGACTCGGCGGGGCGTAGTGGCAGATGACGGGACGTATTGGTCAGATTTGAAGCGATGTGTGGATGATTTAGAAACTGCTGCGTTTGATGCCCAAAAATCAAGACGTAGCGATGGAAGGTTGTAATGGGAGTCCATTCTGAAATTATGGGCGAGAATGGGTAAAAGACTGGCGAGATAACTTAACTTACAGTTGAAAGTTATGAAAATTTGCTTTATCTCACAGCTGGGGACCAAAACGCCGCTAAAACGAGGTACTTTGTACACGAAAACAATGTATCGACTGAAAGGTATTTCTGT